AAAAAAAAAAAAAAAAAAAAAAAACAGAACACCAAATCATACTCCTGGAGTAGCCTGGAGGAAATTTAGAGCAAATATATTAATAATTGTTTTTACCTCTAAGAGGGATCATAGCACACCATAAACATAGAATATTCCTGGCCAGGCATGGTGGCTCACCCCTGTAATCCCAGTACTTTGGGAGGCAGAAGAGGGCAGATCACTTGAGGCCAGGTGTTCAAGACCAGCCTGGCCAATATGGCAAAACCCCGTTTCTACTAAAGACACAAAAATTAGCTGGTCATGGTGATGTGCGCCTGTAATCCCAGCTACGTGGAAGGTGGAGATGGAGGCAGGAGAATCGCTTGCAACTGGGAGGTGGAGGTTACAGTGAGCCGAGATCACACCACTACACTTCAGCCTGGGCGACAGAGCCAGACTCTGTCTCAAAAAACAAAACAAAAACAGTATGACAGATACTTGGCTTCTAGGAGGTGAACAGGAATGAGGCAGGATGCTCAGATAATTCTATCCGCATCGGCCATCCCTAGGTAGCCTCTACCCTACCGTGTCCTGTGGAATGAGGGCAGAACAGCCTTGCACGCTGTAGGTCTTTTAGCCATGTGTTTTGACACCACACTCAGGGGTGTGTGGAAAGCCAAGTAAGTCACTCCCCTGGAAGACTGCACACGGCATGCACATGCAAACCCATGCAAGAGGACAGCAAGCAGGCAGTGGCCACCCTCGGGGCATGCACACGTCTAGGAGAGCCAGGCAGCAGGCAGGGAATCACTGGCATTCCAGCTCAGGGAGCAAGCAGTACCCAAGGTGATCGTGGCGTAAATGACTCCTTCAGGCACCTGCACCCATCTGGGGACTCCAGTGGGGAGAAATCTGCCAGAGTGACCTGCACGCCATCCAGGAGCACAGAGAGAGGCAAGAGGAGAGAGACAGGATGAAGAGAGGAGCACGTCCAAGTGCAGAGGCATGGAGAGGCGTAGACGCGGCAACTTGGCTGCCAGCCCACCAGAGGTTAGTGCTCGCCCATCAGAGGTGCGAGCTGTTGGTGAGTCCACTGCCCAGCCAAGGACATCATTTCCCAGAACCAGAGCCCTTCGCATCCAGAGATGACCATGTGACTACTTGTCACCAAGGCACTGTGGGCAGAAGTGATGTGTGTCACTTCTGGCTGGCGATGTTAAGAAGCAGATAGGGGTTCTCTGCTCTCTCTTTGCAGAGGATCCTGTGGCCCTCGAGGGTGGCTGAGATTAACATGGGAGGAGCCTGGGCACCTGATCTACATGAGGACCAGTAATGCTCCACACTGAAATACCCACAGAGAAACAGGTTTGCACTGTGCTACTAGAAACAGAAGTGCTGGATTATCTGCTATAGCCACTAGCATTACCCCAGGGGGAGACACCATCAGTGAAGTACCTGGTATCGCTGGCAAGCAGCGGCAAACCCCGATCTCCCCATCACAGGCCATCGGGGCACCCATTACATGTGTGCTCAGAGACAGGGACATGACCCAGGGGAGCAGTGTGGGGACAGGGCTGGTAGAACAGGTAAGAATCCAAGCAAATGGCCTTTTGCAGGAAGTCAGCACGTCACAATGGCCAACCAACTATAGCAAGGGGCTGGGGCCCCACCTCCATTCCTCCAGCTGCAACCTGAATGTCGCACTGTTCCACCAGGCCGGACCTGAGGCCAGGCCGGCTTGTAAGGCAGGTGAAGGCCTCCCTCTGTGCTGAGCATGACTGCTTCTCCCAAGTCACCCCCAGGCTGCTCCCTGGCAGGACAGGCAGGCCTACACTCCCTCCCACCTCGCAGCGGGATTTCCTCCGTCTTGGAGCTTTCCTGACCCTCTCCGCACGTGTGTCCAAGCTGTCCTTGGGATGACCCCTAGTCCTGGCTACCACCAGTGTGAACTCACCGTTGATAGACAAAACCAACAAGCCCTGGCCTTTCTGATCACTTGTTTGTGTCGAGATGGAGTGTCTGCCCCACAGACCGGACCTCTGGCACGTCTGGGAGGCAGGCCCCTGCTGGCCCAGCCACACCTGAGGGTGGTGAGTCACTGTTTCCACCTTCAACGTGAATCCAGACAGCAGCACCGCACCCTCAGCTTTGGTCTGAAATCACAGCCCGACTGGTGAGTCGGCACCACCTCACATGCTCAGGGGGTCAGTGCTAAGTGCCGGAGCCCACAAAGCCAGGAGCCCACAAAGCCAAGGTCTCAGAATAGCCTCGGCCCAAACAGGCGCTTGCCTCCCACTGCGTTCCCAGCAGGAGGAGACAGGTAAGTGTGAAGAAAGAGCAGGGGAATCCAGTGTTGCTCCCAGTCACCGGTCCCATCTCATCCCTGGTCCTGTTCTTTTTATTTCAGTAGGTTTTTGCGGTACAGGTGGATACGTTCTTTAATGGTGATTTCTGAGGTACTGCACCTGTCATCTGAGTATGTAATCTTTTATCCCTCATCCTTGCTCCCAACCTTCCCCCGCTAGTACCAAAAGTCCATCCTATCACTCTTATGCCTTTGTGTCTTCATAGCTTAGCTCCCGCTTCTAAGTGAGAACAGAGGAGATTTGGATTTTTATTCCTGAATTACTTCACTTAGAATAATGGCCTCCAGCTCCATCCCAGTTTCTGCAAAGAACATCATTTGATTCCTTTTCCTGGCTAAACAGTATTCCGTGGTGTGTGTGCACCACATTTTCTTTACACCTTCACTGGTTGATGGGCACGTAGGTTGGTTCCGTCTCATTCCCGGTCCTGCTCTCTAAGGAACCAACACCACCTTCCTTGGCCTAGTTCATTCCCAGCCCCAGGGGCCCTGGCCTTTTACATCTGCTGATTGATTTATGTTTTCAAAGCCCTTTTGTTTACAAAGGAAGGAAAGAGAAGCAGGTCAGAAGGGGAGGACCACAGTCCAGCTGCCCTAGAGACGAGGGTCACAACCACCTCTTCCTGAACCTTCGGGGCCTTCCTGTGTAATCAAATCCCCACACCAAGAGCACTTTTGATCCAACTTCCTCTGGCTGAGAACCACCAGCCAAGGACAGAAGATGTCAGCATGAGCCTTGCCCACAGAAGCGCTCACACAGGGTCCAGGGTGATCTTTTCAATACCTAAGTGATAGAGTTTGGCTGTGTCTCCACCCAAATCTCATCCTGAATTCTAGCTTCCATAATTCCCACGTGCGCACATGTCATGGGTGGGACCTGGTGGAGGTAACTGAATCATGGAGGCGAGTCTTTCCCACGCTGCTCTCGTGATAGTAAGTCTCACGGCATCTGATGGTTTTACAAAGGGGATTTCCCTGTACACGCTCTCTCTTGCCGGCTGCCATATAAGATGTCCCTGTGCTCTTTGTCTTCTGCCATGATTGTGAGGCCTCCTCAACCATGTGGAACTGTGAGTTCCAGTAAGCCTCTTTCCTTTATAAGTTGCCCAGTCTCGGGTATGCCTTTATTAGCAGCATGTGCACAAACTAACGCACTAAGTTAGGCCAGTCCCTAAGGAACCCTCTGGAGGCTTGCAGTCTTGCCTCATTCAGAGAAAGGCCAAAGTCATTCCAGTGGCTGGCAGTCCCATCTGCGTCCCCTTCTCCCGTCACTCTCCCCTGCTCCTGCCAGGCTGGCCTCCCTGTTGTTCCTCAGACACACCCAGAGCTCTCTTGCCTCAGAGCTTTTGCAGATGCTGTGCTCTGTGTCTGGAAAGTTCTTCCTGAATGTCTCTGCCTGACTCACTCACCATGTCATTCAGGAATCTGTTTAAGTCACATTATCAGAGAAGCCTTCCCTATCTAAAGTAACTCCCCTGTCCTGCAGAAGCCCAGCTCCTGTCCTGTTTTCCATCCTGACACTTATCAACACCGACACATACTGTTTATTTGTTGTCTGTCTTCTCTCACTGAATGTCAGTGCTGGGATGGCTGGGCTCCCGTCCCTGACACAGTGGGAACACCATAACTATGAGTCCAGTGAAAGAACATGGAAACTACACTCAGACTCAGCCACTTCCATTGCTGACCAGAGCCTCATGCCTCTTGGCCTCTCTTTCATCACCTTTCTGTGCTGAAATCTCACCATTTTCAGTCAGGAACCACAGAAAACATCAGGCGCAGTCAACCTATTTGTGCTGTGCCATCCCTCATTCCTCCTTGCAGGACAGCCAGGTCTGCCGTGGGTCTTGGCTCCCCATTCACACTGAAGGCTGAATGCTCTGTGACCAGTTCTCAATTTGGACCATGCTCTCCAGTCACAGCAGCCCAGGCTATTCTGTTTCCCAGCCCAAGAAGAACATATCCATTACCCCAGGTGAGTCTGCACCAACATCTGTGCGGGAAGCAGTCAGTCATCCTCCCAAGCCCCAGCCACTGGGATGTACCATTGAGGGATGTGTCGTATGGCTCAGCCTCTTCATAGTAGCCCTCCGGAGACTCCACCTTTGGGATGGTGAGCTGTTTCCGTTCTGGAATCTGTGGTATGAACAAATAAGACAAACATTTGCAGATACGGTACACTGGGAGCAACTTGGAAATAACTCTTTGGGTGAAGTCTAGAAAACAAAAATGCCCAGCTGGACTTTAAACTTTAATCAAGTTGGGAGGGAGAACATGTAATATCATGAATCCCATCAGTCACCATCCACAGTGTTGGGTCTGTAGCCGTGGAAGGGCTGTGGGCACACTGTCTAACCTTGCCAAGACTCAGCTTTCTCCCCTGAAAAATGAGGTTCAAACCCCCTACAATACACACAAAATATCATTATGTACATGGTGTATCACGCACTTAAAGGTCCAGAGAGTGCTAGGCTGCTGGGATAGCTACTGTGGCTTTTAAATAGAATATATTTTCTAGAACGACAAGGGCTAATCAACAGCACATGTAGAAAGAAGACCAGCTTTCTAAATCCCACACTTTTACCATAATATAGTTGAATCATTCATTCAGCAAATACTGAATTACTTCCACGTACTAGCTGAGAGGTACACACCGAAATGTCAGGAGTCAGTCCTAAGAAAGCTTGAGCAGCTGGTGAATTTGTAATAGCTCCTGGTCAAGTGCATTGTGATACAGTAGTGCTATGATGGACAAGGTCAAAGTTCTATGGGAACCAGAGGAGGATGTGAGGAACATTTAGGACCAAGGAAGGATGCCCAGGGGATGTGATCTTTGAGCCAAGTCTCAAAGAGGACCCTGAGCTTCTTATGTGGGATGAGGTGAACACGTGTAATTTGAGTAAAATGAAGAACGCATGCACTGTGTTAGAAGCACAGAACATGAAATCATTCTCCATTCCTCCCTTATTTCACCTGCGTAGTCAGCACTAGACTATGAAGCTATGCTTCAGTAAGCTACCTTTATAAGCAACTGTGAGGGAGAAAGAGAGGCAACCTGTTGCATTACTGTTATGAGAGACAGGAATGTGTAAGCACCTTTGAACATGGGTCTCCAGTGTTTTTTTTTTTTTGGACGGAGTCCCATTCCTTCGCCCAGGCTGGAGTGCAGTTGTGCAATCTCAGCTCACTGCAACCTCTGCTTCCTGGGTTCAAGCGATTCTCCTGCCTCAGTCTCCCGAGTATCATGGATTACAGGGATATGCCACCATGCCCAGCTAATTTTTGTCTTTTTAGTAGAGATGGGGTTTCACCATGTTGAGGTCAGGCTGGTCTCCTGACATCAAGTGACTGCCTGCCTTGGCCTCCCAAATTGCTGGGTTTATAGGTGTTAGCCACGACGCCCAGCCCCCACGGTCTTTCCGAATCATGAAACTCCACGGGAATATGCATAAAAAGTTCACAACAGAAGTGGCAGAACTGGAAACGTGCTCCCTCCCACTCTTGATTTTGACAAGTCCTTGTGCTGGGCCCTCTGTATGAGAGGGAAGGCCTCGGCCTTCAAGGAGGCTCCAAGTGAAAGCACAGGTGACGTATAGAATAGGGGAGGTTGTAGCGGGGAGACGATGGAGGCAGCAGCCAATGGAAGGACCATGTAGAGCCCTGAGCTCAGGAGGACCCCTGTGCTTTGGGGGAGAGGATAACGCTAGGAATCCAGAAACTCCTGCCGTGAAAAATGGGTTTATGTGGGGGGCCCATGATGGAGGTAGCTCCCCTGGTCCTGGCCCAGGAGATGGTGGGAGGACAGGCAGCCTGTCCCCAGGCCCTGTGGGACAGTCCTCAGCCTGGGCTGAAAGAGTATCCATTCCACCTTCCCCAGGGCAAGGATACCAGGGTCCCCAGAGCCCAGTCCTGTGTGACTTAGAATCTACAGTCTGTCTATATAGACCCTAGAGTTCCTGTAACTTGATTTCAATCCAGGCTTTAGGACCTCACAGATTTAACTCTGGGTATGTGACAGCCTCTCTGAGCCTTGCTTTTCTTTATAAAATAATACTAGGGTTGTCTTGAAAATTCAATGAGACAAGACGTGATAGTGTTTCCACAGAGCCTGACCCATAGTAAATACAAGGAGGTCATTGTCATCACTGACTGGGGCTTCTCCATAGCCCCAGGGTCCGCAGGTTGGGCGGCGGGGACGGTTAACGTGACAGGAGCCCAACTACTGGACCGTTGTCCTGCAAGCTGAGAAGAGGATCGCCCTGACAGGGCATTACAGAGGGTTAGCTGAGGCCAGGCCACAGCCCGGGCCCAGCACCAGATCTGGTCCTGTCCCAACAGAGCAGATATGAGGCACAGGGCAGGCTCGGAATAGCCTTCAGCCCCCCGCCCCGGCATGCGGCACCCCACGCAAAGGAAGGAATCAAAGGATTTGGTCAATTTCTTAAGCAAACCGGACACTGTACTGGGCCAACAGACACGCTGCTGAAGGAAGCCAGGTGTGCAGCACACCTCTGCCCTGGCTCCTGCCTGGCAGCTAGCCCTAGCAGACAACGGGGTGCCATTGGTACCTGCTAGCACATGGGCCTCCCTCTTTGCCAGCACTAGCCTGGTGAGATGTCTCTCCACTCTCAGCCTTTCCTGGTCCCCTTGGCCAGCCAGCAGCCTGAGAAAAGGCTGAGACGGTAAAAGACTGCCCTGTGATCCACTAACAACATACTCCCCAGGGTCCACAGAGGAAGAGTCCTCCTCTTGCCCTTGCAGCCATCCTTACTGGGAGCAGTAAGGACTCCCCAGCCAGCCCTAGTGCTCATGCAGCCTGATCTGGCTTGGCCTCCAGCTCCAGCCTCCAAGAAGCTCCATTCCCATCAGGTGGGGCTGGGACCCTTCTCTCTATGAGGATGTGGTTCCAATCTGGAGAGAAGCTCTGGGCACCCAAGATCTGGCTCCAGGTCAGGATTCTGGAAAGTCAAACGGGACAAAGGGAGGCATGAACCCGTCTGCGGGAGTTCCCCAGGGGTCACTATCACCACAGGTCTGTCACTGGGGGCCCCCTGTCCTGTGGAGGTATCTCCAAAGCTTCTGTTGAGAAGAAAGAAATCGCTTAGAGGAATCTGAGCTGCGTGAGGCGTGCAAATGTATCAAGCCCAGAGGGACGGGAGTAGGGGACTTCAGGTACCTTTCTCCCCTCCCCATTCCTGGGGGCAACTGTTTAAAGGCCTTTCATTCCTCACCAGCTGCCTCATCCATTATCTTCAGGTTCCTGGAATTTCTGATACAAAGAACAATGTTTAGCTGATCAATAGCTTATGGTATTTTAACATAAGATACTGGTGAATAACTTAAAAACTGCCTCTTTTTCCTTTGAAAACCCACTTGTAACTGCTGCCAATAGAAGTGTGGATTCAGGATAACTTGAATCTGTGCTCCTGGGCTGTAGCCCTCAAATTTGGTCAGAATAAACTCTCTACTTGCATGTATTTGGCCTCCGTTTTTTGCCTGTAGGTTGACACTGCAAAATCTGAAAACGGCTCACTATGGAGAGACAGTGCAGGGCAGGAGGGGAGTCTGATCTCCAGAGCCAGGCTTGAACCCTGACACTGGGATACCCTCGCTGTATGACTCTGACCAACTCACTTGACCTCCTGACTTGGCGTAAAATGGGGAGAGTAGAAATATCCGTCACAAGGGTTGCTGTAAAGGATTGAAGCGTGCCTATCACTATTCAGTACATATTAGCTTTTACTACCCTAAAAATTACATGTAAAAATAAGGGAGAAAAGCTTTACGTATATGTTTGCTGGAGGATAAACCAATGTACTCTGGGGTGGGTACAGAGGAGACCACAGGATGGAGTCCCAGCTCTCAAGGATGCTGGGTTAAATGAGTCACATGATTAAACAGACACAATGACCTATTATCAGAGCTCCAAGGAGAGAGATCCTCATCCCACAGGGTTAAGGAGAAAGGGCTATTATTTTAATTATCATCATCATTATGATGGTGAAGACTATGAATTATATACATATATAGTTTTTTTGAGGTGGAATCTCGCGCTGTCACCCAGGCTGGAATGCAGTGGCATGATCTCAGTTCACTGCAACCTTCACCTCCCGGCTTCAAGTGATTCTCCTGTCTTAGTCTTCTGAGTAGCTGAGATTATAGGTGCATGTCACCACGCCTGGCTAATTTTTGTATTTTTAGTAGAGACAGGTTTTTGCCATGTTGGCCAGGCTGGTCTCAAACTCCTGACTTCAGGTGATTTGCCTGCCTCAGCCTCTCAAAGTGCTGGGATTACAGGAAGACCGTGAATATTAAATGAAGATGCAGAAGAGATTTAACGTCAAAACCTGAATAATTTTCTGACTAGAGGAAGGGACTGTGTGAGCGAGTCAGGCTTGGCAGGATTGACCAGACCAGAGGTCCAGAGGGCTGCAAATCTTTTCGGGAAAGGGCCAAGTAGTAAATACTCTAGGGATCTGTGGGCTATCGGGACCTCTGTCTTATCTCAACTATTCAACTCTGCTTACTGTGGCTCAGAAGTCCACAGACTAATAAAACTAAGTAACTGTGGCTGTGTTCCAGTAAAACTCTGTTTACTAAAGGACACTGCAGATCAGATCTGGCTACTGAGCTACAGTTTGCCAACCCCTGGCTTAGACTAGACACAAGAGCTGATGAGGGGTGGCCCAGAGGACCTGAGGCGGCCTTGCAGCTCGAAGTACCCTGCACCAGAGTACACTGTGGAAGGCTCCCAGGTGGGGGTGAGTGGACAGGCCAGCCCCAGCCTCCCGGACTAGCCATGGTGACGTCCTTTGAGGGAGTAGGTGGCTTCCCCCACAGAGCAGCTCCTGTAAGAGCAGGGCCAGTACATTTCCAGGGCTCAGGGGGACAGTGGGGTGGAGATGGCCATGTTAGCCAGACCATCAACCGTGGCGAACAAACATCTGTTTCTCCGGCAAGGACCACAGCCCCTGGCTGTGCCAATAGCAGCCTGGAGAGGCCACAGCTGCCTGAGTCACTGTCCACACCCACGAAGTCGCTCTGAACCCCTGGCTGCCCTTTCTATCACTGGACAGACCTGCTCTATACTGAGTCCGTAGGGTTGGTGTGAGGACATCCAGGCTTGTGGCTGACAAGCATACCGAACCTGGCAAGATCCTGGCCCCGCCACGGGTCCTGAGGACCTCAGGCGGATGTCCAGGTGCTGCTGCAGGTGACAAGGAACCCAGGGCCGGGCAGCTGTGCGGGGCCAAACCCTCAGCAGGATGAGCCTCCCTGGCACCTTGAAGCTCTGGGATCGGGGGAGGAGGGGATGGGTTTTCTGTCTGGGCAAGAGAGGCCGCAGGGCACACCAGGCTCAGGCTGGGGTTCTCGTGGCCACGGCCTCTCCCTGCTCTAGTTCTTCTCTTCCTCCTCCAGAGCCACAGACATGGCTCTGTCCTGACGCTGCTCCTCTGGGGGCCTTGAACTAAGAGCAATGACTGCTTCAGCCTGATTCAACTGGAGAGGAAGCCTGAGGGAGTGAGGACGTGTGCTCATGTGCAAGGCCAGGGAGAATCCCCAGTGGACACCACCCACACCTCCACACCACATCTGGAACCCCCTGGGGTGGAGGTGGGGCCCTTGCAGGAGACCAGGAGGGACCTAGACAGGGGAGACGCGGTCAACACCCCTCTCTGGTCCTTCGCAGCAGAGAAAGTCCACAAAGTGGGAGGGAGCTGCCTTTTTCTGTCAAGTCAGCTGGCTTTGCTAGAAGTCTCCCTGGGGCCGGGAAGCTGTCCCCAGGAACAGTTACCGCTAGGCTGAAACGCCACCTGGGGACTGTGCCATTCCCAGGTGCTGATAGCATTTTCCCCCCCAGCTGCAGCAGCAGTTTCTCTCAAACAGGGACACAAGCCCTAGTCACAGGCGACAACCCAGGAAGTCTCCTCTAGAGGGGACCATGTGCCCCTCCCCACACTCAGTGTCTGAGACACAGGGCACTGGCAGAGGAGCAGAAGCCAGCACCGGAATCCCAGGGCCCACAGGGACTCACCATGGCCTAATTAACACAGCTTCAGCCAGGTCCCAGACCCTGGGCCCCTTAGTCCATGCTATCTATAAAACACAATTTCTAGAATGCTCATATAGGACTCGGTGCCCATGAAACTCTGCCCCTACCCACCAGGTGAGGACCCACCAGCAGCTGCTCCTGCTGTGGCAGAGGATGGCACTTCCACTAGCAAAGCCCAAGGCACCTTGGTGAGAATCAGATGATCGATTTAGGATAGAAAAGTTCCAGCCTGGCTCAGAACAGCCACCTTTCCACTCCCACCACCCAGCAAGCAACTCCTGGGACACACCAGAAAACCTCTGGTTAAAGCCATCAGCAAATGGATGGGACGGCAGAGGGGCTATGCTGCTCCCCCAAGTGCTGGGGCTGAAGGTGAGGGGAGCCCAGTGCTGCAGGGAACACAGTTTGAGCCCTTGCTCTGCTACAGAGAGCAGCACATGTCAGGGAGGCCCAGGCTGGGGGAGGAACTGGGAACAACAGAGAATCTGCAATGAAAGCCCGGCCTAGTACCTCTCAACTGAGGGACCCTGGCCAGTGGTTTTTAACTCTGAGTCTGTTTCTTCACATGAAAAACAGTGATGAAAATATCCATCCCTTGATGGGTGGTGGGCGGATGGTGTGTGTGCATGGTGTGGGGTTGAGGCTCAGGGTGTAGCAGTCACTGGCACTGTCAGCATCTCAGGGACATCGGGGACTCAGGATCAGTCTTGACCTCAAGCTTCACTCAGCCTGAGATGAGAAGTCCCTACCAGCTGTCACCCAGCTCGAGGGACGGCAATGCAATGGGACACTGTCCCAGATACCCTGGAACTGCCCATCCACACCACATGGTGGAGTCATATCCTCAGCTGTAGCCCCTGCCCCCCAGAAAGGCACGAATGAAGGGGCCGGTCCAGAGCCTTTCTAAGGCTGGGACCTCCTCTACAGAAACAAGAGGCCACAGATCAGGCGACAGCCACTCGGTAGGAGCTTAGCTTCCTGCTGGTGCTGACCCCAGGCCCCCTGGCTACCCATATAAACCCTTCTAAGCTGAGACCCTACTCTCTCCTCAGGATCCCTCCCAGCTATCCCCCACAGAGGAAAGAACCTGGATTCAAATTCTGACTCTGTCACTTACAGGCTGTGTGACATTAGGTTTCCTTAACCTTAAAATATAAATACTACCACTTACCTCACTGAATACTAGCACAGTATGCCACACACAGTGCTAAGGGGCTGCCAGCCTTAGCCCATTGAATAAGGCCATCGGATGAGAGAGGTGTGAGCATTTCTTCCATATAAACCAGGAAATAGAGGAGCAGAGACTTGAAATAACTTGCTCAAGGTCAAAGAGCTAGTAGCAGGCAGAACTGGGATTTGAACCTACATCCATATGATTTTACAATTCCATCCATCCAAAGTAATGGATATTTATGTATGACCTGCATGTGTCCATGTCTGCAGATACTGGATGCAAAATAGTAAATGACAGACAAGGTCCCTGTCCTGGGGAGCCGACATCAGGAGAGGAGGCAGTCCATAGCACTGTTCCAGTAGCAGGTGCCACGGAGTGGGTAACTGGTGGTGGGTCGATAGCAACCTGGGTGCAGATGGGGGAGGGATGCCTCACTTGGCCAGATCAGAAGTGTCCCTAAGAACTCTGGAGAGATAAGAAAGTGATAGGGGCCCAGGAGGTGCAAAGTCCCTAAAGCAACCCTGACCATAGTGACAGAATCCAGGGACAGAAGGGAGGCCAGTGAAGACCCTGGATAAGGGGGTGGGACATACGATTGAGCGGGATCATGGGCCTGGGGTCATGCTAAGGAACGGGATGTTTTTTTCTATGTTCAATGAGAACTATTGGTAAGGTTCAAACAGGAAGTGCAGTAAGATATGATTCATGAATTTTTACTTTTCCTTTACTTTTTAACTGTAGAACAATGTGGGGGATTATTTATTTATTTATTTATTCATTTATTTTATATCTTAAAGAGGGGGTCTTGCTAGGTTGCCTAGGTTGGGGCAGTGGCTATTCACAGGTGCAATCACAGTGCACTATAGCCTCAAATTCCTGGCCTCCAGCAATCCTCCTGCCTCGGCCTCCTGAGTAGCTAGGACTACAGGTATGCATCACTGCATCTGGCTTTTGCAAAGTTTTTAAAGGTCACTGTGGCCTAGGCTGGTGATCACAGCTGTTCACAGCCCCGTCCACATGGTGCTGGGTAAAGAGCCCGAGTAGCATCAGGTGGCACTGATCAAATCTCCCCAGACCCAGCACCCTCATCGTCTGGAGTACTGTGGCCCCAAGCAAATCACCTGTAGGCAGATTTACTTTTGCTCTGTCCCTACCTGCACCTTGCCCCAGTCCCTGCACACAGTAGCTGCTTAGAAAATGCCAGACACTTGGTGGGCGGATACCTGTGAGGACAACTGGAATTTCAAGGGGCTCCCATCAGGGATATCAGGGGTCCTGGGCTGACACTTACCATCTTGGGTGGTGGGAGGTCTGGAAGGCTCTTCTGAGGGGCCGAGGAGTGCTGGCTGGGCTCCCCATTGGGCAGCAGGCCCTGTTCCTCAGGCGCTGCAGGCAGCAAATGGAGAAGGCTTTGGTGAGGGATGCCTGGCCTTACACATGGTCTCCTTACTCAGAAATGCCCGGTCACATGCACCCCGTGAGCTCTTTTTGAGCAGGTGTTAATTACCCAGGCAGGCGGTCCCTGTAGCTAAAGTTGTTTTTCCTCCAAGAATAGGGTACAATAGTGCCCCAGCCATGTGCCTGGCATTTCTGGCAGCCTCTACCCACCCCCCATGTCAAAAAAAAAAAAAAAGGTCTAGCCACAGAGCTCCAGCCAGCAGAGGAGCTGCCTAGTGGCCACTATATTCAGCCACTCTCCGCATGGACCCTGTGATTATGGCTCTTTCCTCCCACAGTTTACCCGGAAGGCAAGTGACCGTGGCCAGAGTGGCCAACCTCATCTGGATGAGTTATGCCAAGTTCCAGGCTTGGTGGGGGACAGGAAGTGAAGGAGCCACAATGGGGAAGTTAGGCCACCAACCCTCAGTGCACTTGGAAGGAATGGTGCCGAAGACACTTCCGAGCCTGTCCATTTCAGCCAGCCCTGGGACAGACAGGCTCGGGCAAGCCTGACCTCAGCGTTTTGGTGGCTGATGTCTCAAAGACAAGTCTTCGACAGGACTGAGTGCTTTGCAATGCTGTGTTTCCACCCCTCTCTAAGCCTCTGCATTCAAGTCACAGGCCCGGAAGTTAGGAGATGGAGCTTCTTAGCCTGCCTCTTCTGTAACGAGGCAGGTTGGCACACTTCTGGGCCTCCCTGGAGTCCTGCCAGGCCCCTCCCTGGAGGCTTTAAGGGAAAAGCAGAGAGCAAAACAGAGCAGAAGAGTGAGGCACTACGGAAGACAGCATATGTCCTTCCCACGGGAGAGAAAACGTTCCGCCAAAGACAGCACCTTTGAACGTGATGTTTGACTATCAAGGCAGTTGCTGACACCACTATTTATTTCTCTCTCCTCTTCCTCAACACAGACTTCTATCAAAAGACATAAAGGCAGAACTGTGGGATCAGCACCACACACAGCTGCTTTCTTCGAACATCTGAATTATGACTTCCTGTTCCTGGGATGATGCTGGGAACAGTCAAAAAGTTTTAGGGCCAGATTCCTTATCCAACAGGCAAGGAGGGGGTGGCCTGTTGAAACATCCCAAAATACATCAACCCAAAATACCACCAACCAAAATGTGGCTTCCAAAAATAGCTCCGCCAGGCCGGTCTGTGTGCTGGCTGGGAGGAAGGAAAGGTGGAAGAGAACCAGCCTGGATCTCCCCCCATCCCCGGAGCGGCCATCCCTTCAGCGATCCCAGCCACATACCTTTGCCTTGAGATTCTGCATTCTGTTGCTTATTGATGGTCACTTTGTTCATGTAAATGTACTCCTCATCAGAGCCTGCAGAAGGAAGGAGACGGGGGCTTTGTGTGACTTCATGAAGAGAAAGGGCCTCTAGCTAGATACCCTGTTCCCCCAGAGCGCTTTTCATCTGTTTGCGTTCCAGTAAAAGCACACGGCATTTTCAGGGGATTGAAAGAGTAGTCCAACATGGAAAGAGCTGACATTTCCAAAAGAGAAATGACAAGTTGCTGACTGCTAGTTTTCTAGCCTGGCTGAAGGTGTGGGGGCAGGTAAGATACAGGAGGATAGCTTAAGGAATAAAAATCTTGCACTTTGAGAGGCCAAGATGGGCGGATCACTTGAGGTCAGGAGTTGGAGACCATCCTGGCCAACATGGTGAAACCCCGTCTCTACTAAAAATACAAAAATTAGCTGGGCATGGTGGCGCGTGTCTGTAATCCCAGCTACTTGGGAAGCTGAGGCAGGAGAATTGCTTGAATCCTGGAGGCAGAGGTTGCAGTGAGCTGAGATTGCACTCCAGCCAGTGGTGGGGGAGGACGGGGTGGAGAGGGAGAGAGGGAGAGAAGGAGGGAGGGAGGGAGGGAGGGAGAGATAGAGCGGCTCCATCTCAAAAAAAAAATTCTGTCATTCTCACTCTAGTCTGAATTACTTGAATGGGTTAATCCGTGTGATATGTAGATAAGGCAGGTCACACTGAAGACTTTGAAGTTTAGCTCCCAGGCCTCTAGGGCCATTGGATGGGTGAAGGGGGACTGGAATACCCAAATCACATGAGTTCTGAGTTTAAAGGGGTGAGTATCCCAAGAGTAAGAACTGGAGAGGCACCAGCCACTTGCTCTTCCCTATAGATTATACCCTGCGGTGGCACAACCCATGCCCTCCTTTAAAATCACTTCTGTGCAGTTTAAGTCACCTTTCCCATGCCTGTCTGGGCAGAGAAAAGCTGGCCTCATAACTCTTGCTCCATTTCCAATCCCCCAAGGCCCCTTTCTTCAGAAGCCTTCAGAGGAAGCTCATCCCAGTGTTTCTCTTTGTCAAAATCCTCTTGAATTTCTTCTGCAGCCTGAATTTGCATTTCCTAGAAACTTGTGGCTGATAAATTCCAGTGGTTGGAGACCGCATTACTGAGCCAAAGGACCCAATTCTAACCTCTGGCAAAGGAAGCAAAGCAGTTCAGCGTCCCTCTGTTCCACAGCCACAGACCGCCAGAACTCCAGCCGACAGGCCTGAAGAGCAGGGCCCCGAGAGCCAAGAGGAACAGGAGAGGGCTGGAGGCAGCCTCAGTGATCAGCGCCTGTGTTCGTCACCTTGGTGCCTTGCCCTGACAGGACCAGTCAGCAATGCCACCCCGTGCCAGAGACTGCAGAATTTATGGGTGGGAGCTGAGGTAAAAATGGAATGAACCAGAACTCAGACTCCCATCCATTGAGACTCAAAGGGGGCTGGGTCCTTTCTCCAGAGCATGGCGCAGGTGAAAAGCGCCCTGCAGGGAGAGGCAGGAGACGGGTCTCAACCAAAGCTTTGCCATACGGCATAAATCTAGGCAAAGTACCTAACCCTTGTGCCTCTGTTTTCTTGTCTGCATAGCATGGAAAACAATCATGACGAAATATTGCCTGTTCAACCAAACTCTTCCGCTTTCAAGAGTACAAAACTCAGGTACTAGGGGGCTTGAAAAGGTAAGGTAAACCTGCAACTAACAAAGACGAAAAATGACAGCTTAAAACATGGGAAATGACTCAAAGGCTGAACAATAGGAAAGGGTAACATTAACCATGGCACATCAACACATTTAACAGCACGTCACCTTTCAAAGCGAGAGGGATTACTGAACAGTATATAAATTGGCATGGCCATTTTAGAGATGATTTTGGAGGATAAATTTTTGTGTTCATATTCTTTGATCCAGCATTTCTACTGCCAGAAATTTATCCCACAGATAAACTCCAGCATTTACAGAAAGTTCTATTTGAGGACATTCATTGCAATGTTGCATCATTTTTTTTAAAAAAAAGAATATAACTTAAACATCTACCATTAGAGGGCTATTTAAACGTTAGGATTCATCCAGCATTGAACTCCACCCAAGGTAGCTCTGTGTCTGTTTACGAAGATATCCAAGACCACGAGTTTAATTATAAGATCATGTTTCAGACTAGCAGAAAAAGTTTATGAATTGTCAACACATGGAAATGTGTGCATGCAGCAATTCTAAATATAAAATAATGTAAAGCAGAAACAGAGGCAAACCACAACCGCTCCAAAATACTCAGATAATGCTGATAAAAATCACAAAAGGAACTGGAACATAAATAGTGTTCAGTGTTCATTTTTCTTATATCATTAACTAAGTTCACACACCTGTACAAAAAAAAAAAAGACAAATGTTGTTGTTTTAAATGTTAGATTCTGAGCTGGTGCTTTCTAAAATGATGATTTGTAAATTGCAGAGAAAACTCAGGCTGGCCACTTCATGAGGGTGCATCGGCCCACCTTGGGTGTGCTGTAGGCTGAGGCTGACTTGGTTTTGATTCCCAGAGGATTGCTAATCCAGGACTATCCAGGTTGGGAAGTAAGAGGCTCCCAAGACCCTCTGCAATTGTGGGAAAAGTACAGTAAACCTGGTCCCAGACAGAAATGCTGCGGACAGGGAGGCCAGACTTCTCAGTCCTGTTTGAGAGGTGGCAGCCTTGGGCTAGAGAACTTTCTGTCATTCACTCAATCATCTCTAGAAGTGCATTCAGCATCAGCACTGTACTAAGTGCTGGGTGTACAGCAGAAAACAAAACAGATGTTGTCTTTGCCTTTGTGAGCCCCATAGTCTAGCAGGGGAGACAGACCTGAATCCGATGGTCACACAGCGGGTAGGAAATGACTATGGCCTGAAGGTGTTAGGGAGGTGAGCTGGAAGTGCTTGGAGGTCTGCAGAGGGTGGCCTTTCCCAGAGAACTGGCATGGGGTGGGGGAGGAAGAACATGAACCTCTTTGCTACCATTGGATAGAGAACAATTGACATGCTTTCTATGAGAGGGGCATCCACTGAAACGTCCCTAGAGCCTCTGAGGGTGGGGGTTGGGGTGTGAGGCGGGTGTGGGGGCTGGCAGGGTGGGGACACAGCTCTCACTGGTGAAGGCTGAAAGAGACCCCAGGGACCAAGCCCTCCACAAACAGATCCTAGTTTGTGCCTTGACCTCTCCATCCAGACAAAAAGCAAAGAGCGTAGAAAATTTGTGTTACACCAAGAAAAAAAAAAAAAAAAATCAAAGATCAGAAAACCCAGATAGACAATTCCATTTGTAAAGTGTAAATGCACACATATGCCTCCTGCCTAAAATGCATGCAAGTGCCCAACAGTTCAGCCTGTGTGGACCACAGCTATCTAGAGATGATCACCTTGCCTCCACCTACAAGTCTCAACAGGCTGAGCTAATTTTTTGATAGAGACAGGCCTGGGAGGCCGAGGGAAAGAATGCTGTAAAGTCAGGTGTGGTATGTGTGTTTAGGATTCTGTCCTATGCAACACAAGTCACTGCAGGGCAATAGAGCAGGTGGAGATAAGGTCAGGTCCACCTGTTCAGGCCCAAGCTCTGGCTCTGCCCTCAAGCCTTATGCCCTCAGGCAAGTGACTTGCAGAGGCTTGGTTTCCTTGTGGGTAAAATGTGAATAAGCTTTGGGATGAGGAATGAATGCATGTCACTTACTACATTAAGTACAAGGACACAGAGTACACAGTAAATATTGGCTGCTATTGTATCTTCTGCAGACTCTACCCACTTTGCAGTCAAGAGGTGCAAAGAGGACTGGAAAGGAAATTCTGTTAAACTGTGGCTACTAACAAGTGGGCTTCACTTCTGAGAACACAAGCCCCAAGCCTCAGAGTGGCTGTGCATGGGTGGCACTCTGGAGGCGATTCACCTTGAGGAACCCGTGACCAGTTCCCAGCAGCTTCCCACCCACTACGAGCTGCAGAGTCCAAGGAGAGGGGAAGGCCTGACCTTTATAAGAACTGATCAAGGGCAGAACAAAAGGGTTATCCTACAGGAAGCCACATCACAGGTTAATTCAAAAGAGACCCCATGTAGGAGGCGCTGCCAGAGCGGTTAGCACCAAGAACCATGAGTCAGACCTATCACAAACAGGTGTTTTCCAGTTCCCAACAGAAGCTCTCTTCATCATTGAACGTTCAAGGTAGAGCACATCTAAGTGGTCTGGGGAATGTGCTTTACAAAGGATTCCACTGATGAATCCTTTATGGAATGAGTCATCCCCCTCTAACTTTCCCGCTTTGTAATGTGGATTTCCCATCTGCGTTCCCATGGTGGACTTCTTTGATGTGTTGCTGACCAGCACTCACGGCGGCAGACGGCAGGCTGGTGAACGCTCCCTACAAAGCCTTCAGGAGCCTGGGAAGCTGCAAAGGCTGAAGGAAAACACCTCTGATGAGATGCTAGGGCAGATGATTCCTCCAGAAGAGAAGGTAAATGGGCATATACCAACATGCCTCAGCTTTATGACTGCTATTCAGAGACTAGAGACTAGTTCCACAAGGAACAGAGGGGAGAGGCCTCGAAATGTAACCTGGCAGTTCAGGTTGGATACAACGAAATATTTCTGGACTGTGATGACGGGCAGGTGGAGACTTCCCTTCTCTGGCAGGACGTGGGCTGCCCCTGCTGAGAGGCAGATGGATTAGATGCCCTCACATGGTCCCCGACTGTCCCCAAACAGCACTTCCAATTCTCAAACATCTGACATCAAAATCAACTCAACTGTTAGGACTTCACAAAAGGTTTTTCCTTTCTTAAAAGAACCTGAATTTGCTAGAAAGAAAACCACATATCCACAAGAAGACTTATTCAAGAATGTTCCTAGCTGCCTCATTCGTAATACTCCAAATCTGTGAACAATCCTAGTGCCCATCAATGAGTGAAAGGATAAACAGATTGTGAACTATTCACAGGATGGACTACTACTCAGCAACAAAAGGAACAAACTGCAGACACACGCAATGGCATGGATGAATCTCCAGAGAAGAACCCAGAAATACGGTACACATCATATGAATCTGTTTCTACAAAGCGCCAGCACAGGCAATATTAATCCGTGCCAGGAGAAAGTCAGCACAATGGTTGCTTGTGTTGGGCAGCTGGGAATGGCCATGACAGAACTTTCTAGATGACGGAAATGTTCTATATCTTGTTTGGGGTGATAAGGACACCAGGGGTAAACAACTATCAAAACTCACTGAATTATTTTACATATGTGCACATTATACGCAAACTCTATCTCAATTTAAAAAAGACAGAAAAATTATGGACTCGGGGTTCTGTAATTTACAGTCTTCCAACTATGTTTTCCCTTGGGTTGAATCATATTGAGCAGGTTATTTAAACTCTCCAGGTCTCCGTTTCCCCCTCTAATGATAGCACCAGCCTCACAGAGAGGTCTTAAAGATGAACCGGGTTATTACATGTACTCGTGGGAATGCTCAATATGCCCTCGCTATTATTACAGTTTATTATTCCATTTCTACTTTCAACCAGCATGAAGGAAGAGTGTTTCAAAAATAGTTTAAAACCTCACTCATGGGCTATGTTAAGTGGTGAAAGATTTCTGGGGCTCCTGCCCAAGTTGGGTCAGTCCTGCACCATTGCTATGTGAAGTGTGGCCCCTCAAAATTCATATAGTAAATCCTAGCACCCAGTATACGTCAGAATATGACTGCATTTGGAGATAGGGTTTTCAAAGGGGTAACTAAGTTAAAATAAGGCCATTGGGGTGGCCCTAATCCACTATGACTGATACCCTTATAAAGAGAGGAGATTAGGGCCCAGGCACAATGGCTCACACCTGTAATCCCAGCACTTCAGGAGGTCGAGGTGGGTAGATCACCTGAGGTCAGGAGTTTGAGAACAGCCTGGCCAACACAGTGAAACCCTGTCTCTACTAAAAAGACAAAATTAGCCAGGTGTGGTGGCGGGTTTCTGTAATCCCAGCTACTCTCGAGGCTGAGGCGAGAGAATTGCTTGAACCTGGGAGGCGGAGGTAGCAGTGGGTGGAGATCATGCCACTGCACTTCAGCCTGAGTGACAGAGCAAGACTGTTTCAAAATGAACAAACAAAAACAGAAAATGAGAGCCAGGCGAGGCGGCTCAAGCCTGTAATCCTGGCACTGTAATCCTGACTGAGGCAGGGCAGATGGCTTGAGGCCTGGAGCGAGACCGGCCTGGGCAACGTGGCCAAATCCCATCTCTACCAAAAAAAAAAAAAAAAAAACAAGCTGGGCATGGTGGCATGCACCTACAGTCCCAACTACTTGGGAGCCCAGGAAGTTGAGGCTGCAGTGAGCCATGATTGCACCACTGTAATCCGCCTGAGTGACAGAATGAGCCTCTGCCTCAAAAAAGTTAAATAAAAAGAGGAGACTGGGACACAGACACAGAGGAAACCCATGTGAGGACACAGGGAGAAGACAGCCACCAGCACGCCAGGGAGAGAAGCCAAACCTGTTCGTACCTTGATCTTAGACTTCTGGCCTCCACAAGTGTGAGAAAATAAGTGTCGTTTATCGTGCCCAGCCTGTGGCCCTTAGCTGCAGCAACCGGCATGGACTCACAGCCATTTGTCTGCAAGGAGGCCTCTGCCCCCGCCCCGGGACCCACACTCACTGCTGCTTTTGGTGTAAAGCCGGAGGAGCTCCGCCAGGCAGCTCTTCTTCACCAGCGCTGTGCTGCTCAGATTCTCCTGGTCCAGGATCTTGAGGAAGTCATCCAACTCTGTCAGCAGCTGCTCCAGGGCTAGGGACAGAAAACAGAAGACACTTACAGCACCTGCCCTCTCTCCAAAGGCCCAGCTAAGATGCACCTCACACCCTCTGGTTCCAAGAGAAAGGGTTTGCTGTGATGTCTGGTAGCGTGTGGGGGGAGTGGGCAGGAGGTGGGATTCCCAGCTTCAGGGCTACAGGGAGAGACAAGCAGGCCTTTGGCTTGGAGATGAAGAGCCCCCGCTGAAGCCCCAGGCCTACCAGGTGCTGGAGGAGTGATGATGGCCTCATCCGCCAACTTCCTATCTCCTCCACTGCAAGTGTCTGCCCTCACAGGGCTCTCCAGGAAACTAAGAAAGCGCTACCTCCAAAGCGTTTTGAGGGCCGTTGAGCTCTGCTGTTAGAGCTGCGGCTAGAATCAGGGTTGGTCTCATGTTGATCCTCTCTGGGTGGCTTTGGGCCCATTACTTCTTAGGTCTTTTAGGTCAAATGCTTTGTTAAGTTCCTTCCAGCTCTGAAGTTTTATAGTTCCAAGCCACACCTTGGCTGTATGACTTTAAGTATGAATCTGTTCACAGGTTGTCCATGTTTAAAAGCCACCCCTGAGGCCAGGATCCGTGGCTCACACCTGTAATCCCAGCACTTGCGGAGGCCGAGGTGGGTGGATCTTGAGGTCAGGAGATCAAGACCATCCTGGCCAACATGGTGAAACCCCGTCTCTACTAAAAATACAAAAGTTAGCTGGGCATGGTGGTGCACGCCTGTAGTCCCAGGTACTCGGGAGGCTGGGGCAGGAGAATTGCTTGAACTGGGAAGCCAGAGGTTGCAGTGAGCCGAGATCATGCCACTGCACTCCAGCTTGGCAACAGACTGGGACTCCGTCTCAAAAAAACAAAACAAAACAAAACAAAAAGCCACACCTGTTCCTCAGAAGCCCCACCTGGCCTCCAAAGCCCCGCAGACTGCAGCAGCCTCACCCATGGTCACTGTCACACTCCACAGCCCCGACACTGCACCCCTCTTTCCTTCTCTGGCTTTCATGCTTCCTGGTCTTCTCTGCTAAATCACACCTGTCCCTCTGTTACCGGTGGTAGTTATCATGCGGATCTGCAGCAGCCTCAGTTCTTGCCTCCTCAGAAGAAAGAATTCGACTGAGGCAAGTTTTGGAGCAGAAGTAAAAGTGTGTTAAAAAGCTTTAGCTGGGCACGGTGGCTCACACCTGTAATCCCAGCACTATCAGAGGCCAAGAGTTCGAGACAAGCCTGACCAATGTGGAAGAAACCCCGGCTCTACAAAAATACAAAATTAGCCAGGCTAATTGTATTTTGCGAGCTCCTATAATCCCAGCTACTCGGGAGGCTGAGGCAGGAGAATCGCTAGAACCCGGGAGATCACTCCATTGCACTCCAACATGGGCAACAAGAGTGAAACTTTGTCTCAGGAAAAAAAAAAAAAAATCTCTAGAACAGTAAGGAAAGGAAAAAGCAGTCCAGCTTGGAACACAGCCACATGGGCGACTTGAGAAACCAAGTGTGAGGATTGACCCCGTCACTTGGCGTTTTATACACTGGCATACTTCTGGGATCTCGCGTTACTTGTCCTGCCCCTGAGAGCTTACTGGGAAGCTGCCGATTGGTTTCAGGTGTTTTCTATTAGGAGTCTGCCTTTCCCTGCACTGGCTGTGACCAATGATTACTTAGAGAAACAGTTAACAACTGCTTGACCATCACCTCGTGGTTCATCCAACACTCCTAGTGTGTGGGGCAGGGTGGGGCGCCCTCTCCTGCCCTGCTCATGTCTAACGAGCTACCTGCTGTAACACCTCAGTTCTTGGTCTACATAGCATTCCTCCTGAGACCCCTTCTCTGGGCCTCTTTAACAGATAATCCCATGTTATCAGCACTGGCCTCTGTGGTGGGCTAAATATTGAGCTTCCAATGATGTGCATGACCTGACCCCCTGAATCTGTGAATATGCTACCTGACATAGCAGAGGGACATCACAAATGTGATTTAATTAAGGAGATTATCCTGGTTTGTGCAGGTGAGCCATTATAAGAGGGAGGGAGGTGGGTAAGAGTCAGGGAGATAAGTTGCCACCATGTTGGCTTTGGGGCTGGAGGAAGGGACCATGAGCCAAGGAACACAGGTGGCTTCTGGAATCTGGAAAAGGTGAGGAAGTAGATTATTTCCTAGAGCCTCCAGAGAAACAGAGCTCCGTGGCCCCCTCTCAGATTCGGATCTCCAGAACTGTAAATTAATGAGTTCGTGTTGCTTTATATCACCAAGTTTGGTAGTTTGTTACAACAGCAATAAGAAACTAAGACACCCTCTCACAGCTCTGATTGCTCCATAGTGTAGCTGTCTGCATCACCATTTAGCTGCAAGCTCGAAGGACAGGCTTTGTGTGGAGCTCACATTTCCAGGGCCCAGCACAATGTCCAATAAATATTTGTGGACTTGGGCAGATGTGGTGGCTCATGCCTGTGATTCTAGCACTTTCGGAGGCCGAGGTGAGTGGATTGGCTGAGCTCGGGAGTTTGAGACCAGCCTGGGGAACACAATGAAACCCCATCTCTCTCGGCCAGGTACGGTGGCTCACGCCTGTAATCCCAGCACTATGGGAGGCCGAGATGGGTGGCTCACCTGAGGTCAGGAGTTCAAGACCAGCCTGGCCAACATGGTGAAACCCCATCTCTATTTTTTTAAAAATGTAAAAAGTAAA